TAATCTTCACCTCATCTTTTGCAGCTTCTAGTCGATGTATTTGCTCCAGCAATGCGTGACAACAAGAACAACCATTTACGCAATTTCTACCTCATCATTCCTCCTCTGACTGTTAACTTTGTGGAACATCTCATTGCTGCTAAAGACAATATAAATAAGAAGAACAAGTCTGGGGCTGCATTTACTGATGATGGATTTGCTATGGGTAAGAACTGCATTATTTAACATGGCTTTGGGAGGAATTTGTAAAGTTTATTATTACACTCTTTAGATAGTCTTATGCAACATTTCTGTAATTATCATGGAAATGGATGTAAAAACTAATTTAAGCTATATTTTTCTTTCTTAAGGAACTGTCAAACTTTTTTTTTCAACAGGAATTGCATACTTGCTGAAGGTTCTCGACCAAAATTCAGCTTTTGACTCCTTGCACTGGTGGTCAGGTGTTAGAAGAAAGTACATATCTGAACGAGAAAAGGTAAGTCGTTTGATGTTGTGTTGTGTCAGATCTCTCTCTCTCAGTCTGTATCCTAATGACTTGAATTGGTTCAAACATGCAGGAGTTATATCTGTGATTTGAGAAGGATACTGTGTGATAATCTCCTTACTGCTGTGGACATATGTTGAATATATCCATATTTATTTATTTATTGAACATTTTCTGCCATGTCATCATCTAAGTATTCAAAATAGAGATAGGCTTGGGACCAAACCCCCTGATAAAGAAGTGGCTATATGTTATCTAAGGTTATATAGCATTACAGTAAAGTATAGTAGCAAAAAGGCTTGGAGTGAGTTAATGATTAGGGCAAAGTTACAGGTTGAATAGTACTAGAGCGTAGTATGGTAGTGAAAAGGGTAGAGAGAGGGAGCTGATGGCGCATAGCATAAGGTAAAAGTTGTTAGAAGGGGAAGGAGTTAAAGGGAGTAGGGAGCAGGGAGCATTATGATAAGGTATTGTTGGGAAAAGGGCATGGGTTAATGATAAGGATAAGTGGACAAAGGGATAAAGAAGGGGAGGAAAAGGAGAGGAGAAGAAAAGACCATGAATTAGTTGAAGCAAGGGCTGAGATCCAAGGTCATGGTGATCCCCTACATTAGAGCCTTTGTCCCAGTCTCCTAAGTACCCCACAACAACGAGCAAGGGAATAGAGGGGTGGGGGTGTATATCCATAGTCCTTTATTCTGTTGCTCAAAATGTAGCTCTCTGTAATTTAGTCATAATCTATTTCTTTCCTGAAAAAGGTTGAACAGCAGCGGCAATCAGGCAGTGGAGGAGATGATAAACTTCAGCAGACTCTGGCACTCACATTGTCCCGACTGCAACAGTACCAGCAGGAGTTTGAGCTCCTTTACTTGAGTGTGAGCAGTGCAAGGGTTTTCTTTAGGGGTGACTGGGCATCTGCAATGTCCATGGCAGATGGACAAAATAGTGACACCCAGTCGACAAACAGTGGTACAAGCAACAAGGAGAGAGTTGTGGAAAACACTACTTAAAAGTCAACCAAGTGTAGTTGCTGAACTATCTTTGATGGCAACATTTACAATTTTATTAATTAAAAAGTATAACCATTTGAAGAGGGAACAATATTATTTTTTTATGTAAGTTCCTTTTATTTGGAGAGTATCTAATTGAGAAACAGTTAGTTACTTGATATAGTGATCTGCATATTTATATATTAATTGAAAATCATGTTTTTCCTCTCTGGAAGGGATATTTAGGAGGTAGTCCATTGATTTGTGGATAAGTGCCACCTGAATGTATATTTTGGAATTTAAATATTAAAAATGACACTATTGATTTATTTACTAAAATGGGGATTTTTGGTGTTTATATAAAATGACTGTTGATTTAAATGTGTAATGCATAGAGCCACAGCTGCTGTTTTTATCAACAATATGGGACAGGGAGTACAAACACAAGATTAATATAGGAAATGTTTTACAAACATTGATTGTTGTTATTATCTGTGATAAGGAAATTTGATGTAGATAAATATATATTTAGTAGTATACATAAGATAATAAATGAGAGAATGATTTATACAGTTTTCCAATTAAAATTTATATCTATAATTAATGCAATTCATTGATACCTTATTCTTTTTTTTCTTTTCTTTTTGAGAAAAGATATATTTTGTGTGTGTGTGAGGGCATGTATGTGTGTGTGTGTGTGTGTATGTGTGTATGTATGTGTGTGTGTGTGTGTGTGTGTGAGGGCATGTATGTGTGTGTGTGTGTGAGGGCATGTATGTGTGTGTGTGTGTGAGGGCATGTATGTGTGTGTGTGTGTGTGTGTGTGTGTGTGTGTGTGTGTGTGTGTGTGTGTGTGTGAGGGCATGTATGTGTGTGTGTGTGTGTGTGTGTGTGTGTGTGTGTGTGTGTGTGTGTGTGTGTGTGTGAGGGCATGTATGTGTGTGTGTGTGTGTGTGTGTGAGGGCATGTATGTGTGTGTGTGTGTGTGTGTGAGGGCATGTAGGTGTGTGTGTGAGGGCATGTA